CCCATCAGAGAAGAACATCTGCACATAATGATGATGAAATGGGGGACCTGCTTTCAAAATAGCTTACTGCTCTATCGGTAATTCTTTTTCCACTAATTTAAGACTGCAGCCAAGTATAACCACAAAATGATTGTTGTCCCCAGCCACTAACAATCTGTAGAGATTCTGGCTGTTTTAACCATCAATCTCATTCAGCTGACTGATGGAGGATGCAGATGAAGGAAAAGGAATCCACTTCAATGAAATCAGCTGCTTCTCTAACAAAATTCTCCACCTTCCAGCCAACAGCTCTTCTCAAGCTAATAATGTCAGATGGTTTCCCAACAAGGTACAGTGAAATGAAGAGACACCCCTCTAGCTTTACCCTCTGGCCAAATTTGGCCAGGATCACTTGAACACAATCCAGTACCCCATGGTGCATTTTCAGACCAAGCTGTTCCCTTCCCCAGCTGTCCTGCACAGTCAGTCTTCCACATACTATAAACATTTGCATAGTTCTTACAAGACAACCTGTGCTGCTGGAGTGCAAGGAAGTAAACTGATGCCAGTAATGAGGGATTCTCATTTTCATTACTTCCTCTCCTTCTAATTAGATGTGAGTAATGTTGGCAGTATCACCAGTGCACCAGGCCAGGAGTACTCATTGGTGCAGAGCTTCTCAAACTGTGGTTCACAAACTATCGGCAGCAACAAAGACAGAGGAGAGACCCAGAGCTGGACCCTAGAATCAGATTGAACAGGTTCTCGGGGTTTTTCCCACACAGATCCTGGTGCATTCACTAGTGCTACCTGCCACTTCCTTGGCTCTGTGTTTCCATACATTTCAGATTTGCACTTCGTGTCTTACAAGCCAAGATAAAGCATTTCCAGGGCTGTATCAGTTGGGAATTTTAATATGGACCAAATGGCAAAAGAAAGAAAAGTGCCTTGCCTCAACTCTTCATCCAGGAAGGTGGAAAGCAGAGCTCCAGCTGCTCATTTCAGCCACAGTGTGTCCAGCAGATGGCAACTCCCAAGTTTTCAAGAGAGCAGAGACTATTCCCCTGCATCATTGGGAGGCTAACCAATGAAATTAGAGATTTCACAAAACTTTTTGAGAGCTTTGACTGCTTTGTAGTGCATACAAATGTAGCATGTTTTACCAATGGAAAGGAGACACATGCACAGAAATAACTAATAGTAAGTTTGATAAATAATAAGCTTCTCTGCCTCCTTTCTTTTTGTTGCCATCTCCTCTTTATAACTAGATTTCTAACAACACCATTTTGCTGTTGAATTTCTCTATTGGTTAAAGCATTACCTCAAGAGTCAGCTAATGCTATTCAGTTATTTGAAGGGCAAACTTCCACCTCTCTAGGTGGTTTTCCCTAGCACAGGATCTAAGGAAAGCATAAGCCACTGGCAACAGAACTACAGTTAGCAAATTTCCTTTTTTGAGTCTTGAAGGTTTGGGAGCTAGAAGTTAAAACAAGTAGGGATGCTGCATAAGTCAAGGGGATTAAGGGAATGATGCTTTTCTTTCTACAGAGCTCTCTCAGCCTTTAGGATATAGCCCATCTTTTTCACAAAGAAAAAGAAAAGAAAAAAGAGAGAAGGCACCACATCCTTGGATTAAAAGCACAGGAAAAGTTTGTTTTACTGACTGTGAAGAAAAGCTGGATGTCTGGAGGAGAATGTGGAAAACAATTGTTCTTCCCTGGGTATGTCACAGAGAAATAAAAATATTTCATTACGAAATAAAAACATTCTGCTCTGTGATCATCTGAGGTGATCTTCAGTCTCAAGGGTTCAGCAATTCAGCAAATGAAAATCTAAGTCAATAAAAATGAATGAAGCCAGGCAAGTATTCTGTATCAGGTGACAAAAGTTATTTTGGGAGCTTACAAACCAGTGAGTGCAGTGATACAATAATGGCTCATCTGCATCTGGCACTGTTCCAGGGAATGGCCTCTGATGGAAATTCCCATTAGAGAAGCAGTGCTGCTCTCTGATATTGTTTTGCCCGTACTTCAGAACCTTGATACCCCAGAGTAGCTGCAAATGCACCAAGAGCAATTTGCACAGGGCTCCTCATGGAGAAATGAGCTATTTTAGGAGTATCTAATTCTTTTCTCTATAATAATAGCTGCTAGTCTTCTGTACCAATGGACTGATTCAGCATCAACACTGACAAGGTACTTCAGCCTCTGACACTTGTGAAGGAGCTTTGTGCTCCCTTTAACCATCAGAAAGGGGAGGAGAAATTTGCTCTGTTTTCAGTTATATGACAGCTTTTAAAAATTTTACAGCATGAGCACAGCACCTAATCCAACAAAGTCTGCCAAGAACATTTAAAATCAGGGTCTCAGAGAATTTGCTTCCTATAAATTCACCAGTATTGTAAGGAAAGGATCTTTCCCTCAGAAAGGCAGCACAAATCCCACTGGAGTTGCACAGGGCTGAGGACTGTTTTCTGCCACATTGTGGGAAAGACAGCTGAAAGTACTGGGAATTAGGCTGTAGGGATGCACAAAATGTACTGGAGTTAATGAATGGGAGCAGGAAGAAGAAGATGAAAATATGATTTCTGACAGAAATCAAAGCATTTTCTCAAACAGAATCAAGAGCAGGAACAGGCTATAATAGGCATTTAACTCATTTAATGCAATGACTGCTCTCAATACATGAAAAATAAATTCCTCTTCCTACCTAAACTATTGCCTGTTACTAACCAACTACCTAGAGGAGGGTGGAGAGGAAAGGTGGAGCCAGCAAAACTTCCTTGAGCATGTATGCAAAGATAAATCCTATATTCCTGCAGAGATGCTTTCCTGTAATTTCACAAAGTAAAATGTGACAGATAACTAAAAACAACATGAAAAACAAAACAACAGAATCATCAACCTGTAATCTTCTAAGATTTCTGATCACTAGAAATGGAAATTTTTTTCTCCTTTTACCAAGGAGAGGCTAGCCAGTACCTTTAAAAATCATCTCTTTTCAGTTACTTTCTTCACTGTGAGAAGGTGAAGAGCTGCATCTATTACAACTCCATGCTGTGCAAACCTCATTTGGACATGATGATCATCCATCACTCCTGCTGTGCAGGTAGCATGTGAAAGGGAAACAAACCAGAGATCGTGCTGCAGTCAGTATGTGACACCACCCACTGCCCTGCTCGCATGCTTCAGTTCACCTAGAGCCCAGCTGCCACACAGGCATCCTCTTTTTGGGACCCCTGCCTTTTCTCTGCCTCCAAGTATAGCTTAGAGCAGCTCTGATGGTTTTAGGAGGGAGACAGAAACCTCTCCTTCTCTCCCAAAATATTAAGGCGTTCCTACTGAAAAGCATGCCAAAGACATATCATTATGTGCAACCTTGCCTTTGTAAATACACACACATTACTTGCAGCAGTACCTCTTCTCATCACATGGGTATGTTTCAGTGGAAGATAAATATTGCAAGAGAAATCAGAATGCCTGTATCCTTTGAGGCAGTGCTGTGCATAATCCTGAAAAGAGCTATTAATGCCAGCACCCTACTTCTTTTCTCTAGCTCACACTTCAACTAACTGTCAGTGCTATCTATAATCTCAACCAGGGACAGTCAGTAGAGGCACACAACTTAAAAAAGCAAGAAGGATATTGTTTGTCTTTTTCAGAAAGCTCTGGAGTAAGCTGCAATAAATATTAGATGATTTTTAGGGAAGCAGAAGCAACCAAAATTAGCCTTGAAAGACAGAATGCAGCCTTAACAACACTCTTTCTACCAACTCACCTAGGATGCAAAAAGAGCAGCTTCCTTGTGTTTCACAGCTCTGGTTAGTGCTGTGCCAATTCAGGGGACTTGCACTAGTTTGTCACATCCTGACTCTTGGTATGGCTCAGGTCAGCAGGAGTTGCCTGCACTTTGTGTTTTCTGATGCACTGCAGCATGCCTGGCTTCAAACAGCTGTACAGCAGCGCACACTAGAGAACAACTCTCTCCATCTCACAGCCCTCCGAGCACCTCCAACAAGTCAGGAGAGCACAGCCAGTAACAGGGCACAGTAACATCCAGCTGCAAACACACACCCCCTCCTCAAGTGCCACGACAGGAGGGGTGTCGCTCCACAATACTCCTCATTTCCCTCAGCATCTTCATAAGCCACTTGGGAGGAACAAGCCCTCTAAAGGCACCTCCTGAGGATCGTGTAACAGACCTTCCCATGTATGATTCTGGACAAGAAACTGAACTAGAAATCCTGTCCTGCCCTAGCAAACATGCTACTACTCCCTTTTTTACAGGACTAGCAGCATTTGTGACGTGGGTCCCCCCCACTCGCTTCTTTAGTCTCAGCTACAGCCTACACTCCATTACAAGGGAGTTAAGTGCCCAGGCACCTAATTTATTAAAAAGATGATGACACACGCATGCCTCACAGTGATTTGATAAGCTCCTGGCACAGAGCAGCAGCCCCAGAAGCAGAGAGGAGCGCTCTGGTCTCTCTCCGCCCACGTCTTCAACAGGGAATGGCAGTGCCAGGACCCACCACTGACAGCAACAGAGAATGACTACCTAGAGATTCCTGATACAGGCTTTAATGTGCTGATGTACCAAGTATGCATCATGCCATCTGCAATAAAGCAACAGATGTAAGCACGTGTTGAACCTCACAACCATGAATGGTCTCAGCTATTTCTCTAGGACTATGCATAACTTTTGAGGCAAACACATAAGAATGAAAGATCAGGGCACAAAAAAGTATAAGCTCTCACTGGAACAAAGTGATGAAGGCCTTTGTGCAACTGACCTCTATAAACACACTCTTTTGTCTTCTACCACAGTTTTGAAATGCAGCTGGAGGCCAGGAATTGAGAGGATGAAAAAAACCCTCTACAGGTTATCTATGCAAATTAATGAGGCCACAAAAGCAGTAGCCTAGGCACCACTTTGTTCAAGTTTAAAAGCAGCAACAAGTTCACCTTCCATCTCAGTAAACAGACACAAAAACCGTTCCACAGTTCCAAACATGTACTCACCCAGAAGAGAAGGTTGAAAACAAACATTAGGTACTTGATACACTGCAGGCAGTTGTGAGCCATGCTGCACCTCTTCAGTTCTAGGAGAAAAATAAATGAGAGATCCAGGTAAAAGACAACGTACTTGTTTCCCTTGGGGGTCGTGTACTTAGCCTTGGTGGCCTTCGGGCCAGGGTTGGTATGAAATCCAAAAAAAGAGTTGCTGGCAGCCCCAAACTGGCCACCATACATGCTGCTGTATCGACGGAAGGCGCCATTTGGGAAACTGTAATCCTTGCTGTCCAGGGAAGGGCTCCTGTGATAGGTGGACTCATCGGTGCTGGACCTGCGCATGGTGGCTTCAGCTGTCCCGTTCCTGCTGCTCTGACAGCCGTCGGCGAAAGGTTGGTGATCTTCCTTCCTTCCTGCTCCTTCTCCTCGCTAAGAATCCCCTATTGCTTTGCACCAGCTGTTCTTTCGTCTGCCATCCTGCCAAGGAGTTACGCGTGCTGTGCGGCAGCAAAGTTGGTGAACTGAAGTCTGCTTAGCCAGAAGTTAGGGAGCAGCGTGCTTCCACATGAGAAAGACTTCTGCACAAGTAAACATTTCCGTCACTGTCACGATCGTCCCTCCCGGCCCACCCCGCTACCAGGGAAGGAAAAATCAGACAGAGATATACTGTACCCAGAGCAAAGAATTTTTAAAAAAGGAACCGTGACCTCGCTCGGCTCGCAAATGCCATACAAAACCCCGGCTCCGCATGCCACGCACAGACAAGAGAGTGCCGCTGCCCGAGACCCGCGGCAGGCAGGGGCAGGGATTATCCGAAAGGCGAGCAGCTGCCGTGGCGCTTTCCCGCCGCCCGCATCGCTGCGCCCCGCGCCGCCGGGCTCACTCGGCGCATCCCCGCATCCCGCTCCCGCGGCGGCCGCCTGTGGAACGCCGGCCCCGGCGCTCCATTCCCGGCGTGGCCGCCCCTCCTCCGAGCGCCGCGCCAATGGCGCTGCCCGCCCGCCCGGCCCCGGCCCACGGCCCGCCCTCACAGCCCCGCCCGGGGCCGCGGCTCCCCCCCGCCCCCAAACTCCGAGCGCGGCGAAACCGCGCGGAGCCCCGACCTGGGCGCAGGTGGCTGTGCGGGGCTGCCCGGGTGCGCAGGCGGCGCTGCCGAAAGGAACGGGAATAAGTGCGTGCAGTGAAGGATTGGTACGCAAAAGCGCCGGGGATGCTCCGCGGGGAGCGGGGTCAGGACACACCGTGCTCCCCTTGCCGGAAGGCTCGTTTGTTCCGCTGCAGATCCATCACCGGGATGCTCCTAATTCGCTCCGTCCCACGGAATCATCACTCAGCAACACGTATGGCCAGGTCATTTATCCCCTGTCAGAACGCACTGATCGGCATCAAGCTCCGTACGCTGGGGAGCACTTCCCTAAAATCTGACAGCTCCCACAGGCAGTAAAGAGTTGAAAATGTGCCACACACAACTTTTTCGGGAAGGAAATATCTTACTGAAACTGTAGCAATTACAGCATTAATACTCAGGAAAGCAAGACTCATTTACCATCTTTGCCCCAAACTCCCTGTGCAAGTAATTCACTCGTCTCTGTATATGCCACCTCCTTATCTGTCTGCCTCCCTCTCTGTCTGCCCTTTGATTTTGACTGCAACTTACTGAAACTACATCAAAAGATGGCTGGCTAACATTTTTTTACAACGCCTGCCCAGCAGAGAATTAATCAAGATGAAAACAGATTTCCTTCCTGAAGCATCTTGCCAGTCTCAGCATAAATCAAGAGACATGGGCACCAATTAATTAAAGAACAAATTAGTAAAAGTAAAATGAGCTGGTTTTGCACATAGCCTAAGCAGTTCACCCCTGCAAACTACCCTCTAATTCTGTTAATTAACTAACTGCAAACTTAGAGTCTAATTATTTCTCCTCATTTCCTCCACAAACTATAAATACACTGACCATACCTGGTGCAAGCTTTAGAAAGAAAGAACCTGAGCACAAAACACAAGGGTAATAACTCCTGCACCATCTGTCTCAGTAACTTTGATGAGTTACAACTTTCCAGTTTTTTATTTCCCTACCTCCAAAATTAGTTTTCTACTCCCCTCCCTTTCCTGCACAATATGAACTCTGCCCTCCTTAAACGAATCTTCCTTCCCTAGCAAATAAAGATGGTCCAATGGAAGCAGATCTGTTCTCAGAGTTCCCAATATACTGTTAATTTTCCCTGTGCTACCAAACTGTTCTGCCTCCACCCTTTCTCCTCACCTTTATTACAACTAGACCAGTTTAGTAACAGAAACCCAAAAATGATTCAAATTTTTTCTGTTTTCTGTCAGTATGTAAAAATGCCTGTGCACAAAGCACCATATTAAATGGTGAAAGAAAAACTGGGTACAGCTCAGCACACAAATTATGCTGAAGCAGTGACAAGTCAGATAACTGTGATTTAACAAGGGTGCCCATGGTACTGCATTTAACAGAGGAGAATTTGGCATATTTACCGTAAACTAGACAACTGAAGCCCAAAGGCAGCTCATTGCTATCTGGATAAGAAAAGGGTTAGAAATCACTTGCTTTCCCCTTTCCTGAAGGCGAGAAATCATCAATTCTTAAGAGAATTAAGTCCTTAATACAGTGGAATAATTCATAAAGCCAGGGTCTAAGGTAGAAGGAAGAATTTCTAAATGTTTGTTTTAAATAAAAAGTAATAAACACCAACACTATGTGTATATTTTTCAGACAGATGCAGAAAATATTTTAGGAAGGCTGAGGTCCTGCATAACCCTTACAATAAAGGGTATTTTTCCTCCAGCCTCTTTTCACCATCGTCCTGTAGCACACCTCATGGAAATGACAACTTTTTTAAGGCACTGAAGTGTAAAATGTAGTTCTCAAGTAGTTGCTGTTCTTTCTCACTACAATAACAACAGTTAATTAGAAACAGAGTCATTTAGTAAATAGGCATTACAATCATTCTTTTATTAAATCTTCCTCACCAGGAACCCCAGTCAGAATCTCTAGCCTAAATGGGAAACCCTTGAGAAAGCAATGTTGCACCAACAGGCTAACTGCAGCTTGGCTGACATGCTCACATGAGGGAGTGATGTCCTGCATGGGGACTGGGGGAAATCAATGAAAGGCTCAGAAGGCTCAGAAGGTTCAGAAGGGCTGCTGAACTCTACTCTTGCCCATCTCTGGTGTGAAGTGAATGGAAAGGGCATGCTGGGACCCATGCTGACATTTTAGCTGTTTAACAATAAAGTGATGTGTGAACCAAGAAGAACAAACCTTGGAAGCATTGCATCACTGGGGCATTGTGCCTAAAGGGTGACCCAAAGGACAGGCAAATTAGAGCTTTCACAAAACTTTTTGTTAATGACTGAGCCTAAAATCACGGTGTGGACCTAGTGACCTCTGTTCACCTCTGCTTAACATCTATTTTTTCTCTCCCCAGCTGCATCTCTATATTCTCATCCTGTGGCCAATTCATATTGATTCCTCTACACAAGAAAGCAAGCACTGTGCAGTCTCGCCAGCAGAGGTTCAATTTGTATTGATTCTGGTGGCACGCTACCATTTAGGTTATAACAACTCTGTCCCTGCCACTTTGAGTGGAGTGCTGGTAACCCTTCCCTGACTCCAGCCAAAACCCTGGCTCTGAAAGAGAAGAGGCAGCAGTCTCACTCTAATGACACCAGGTGAACTCCAGGCAATAAACTGTAAAAGGCTTGGGCATCAGGGGGCAGATCTCTTAACTGTGTTATCCCTCACACCCTTTATCTGAGCAGCCTCAGCTTTGGCTTTCACCTGAAGGCACACAGCCCACACTTTGCCCCTCACCCTGAGCTGCAGCCTCCACAGACCCCACACCACCTCCCTTATTATTTTGAATACTGCTTTCTCTTCTTCCACCATGATTTAACATTCATGACCACAAGACATCAGTGCTTCAGCTCACACAAAATGCAGCACTAATTCACCTCCTCATTAATTTAGTCTCATTAGTCCCTTAATGGTTGCACTGGTTTTCCCCCTACTAATGCCTCTTGTCACTGTCTTCAAAATTCTGCATACCTGCTCCATCATCCTAATGGAACAACCCACTTTGAATTAACCTCAGTAGACTTTGTTAAGTGACCCACAAAATAAAATTTTTAAGAACACTGCTAGAAGGTATTAGTGAAATACACTATATAAAACAGGGTATGGATGTGACAACTGCTCCCATTCTGCAACAGAGGAGTGTGCAAAGGCATGCACGTGATAGGTGACATCAGTCCCAGCAGCTTCAGTGAACAACCTGAATAAGAGCAAACATTACTACAGGAGTGGCATCTTCTTGTGAGTTACTAGCTTTGCTTCACACCACAGCACTGAAATCAGCTAAGAGTGATCAACGGTGAATACACTCCAAATGCTCAACTTTTCATTTCATGTACATACAGAGATCACCACAGAAAAGTGTTAATCAAACCTGTCTTTTTCTTCAGCAATATGCATGGAGAGAAATCCCTTGTTTGCTCACCCAGTGCACTCTTTGCAGCTATTGTTTGCTTATGTTTGATTCAGTGATGCAGGTTTTATAAAAACTGTACCTCTTCCAAAAGTCTAAGAGAAACATCTCTTCTGACTGGAGGGTGAACCAAAGTTCAGGGCCAAGCTGGCTGTTTCAGCTAGGAGGAAAAAAAGCCTTGTGATGGAGTCTTTGATTTGTTTGCTTTTGTATATTCATTTTGCATGAGTATAAATGACTAAAAGAGCAAAGCAAAGAGAGTGAGGATATGATTTTTAACCTGTCAGCCTCACACTGCCACAGGTTTTCAGTCTCTGCTCAACCGTGCCCAGGACTGTTTAGTGTCTCTAAGTGACAGAGTGGGATCCAGCACACCCTCACCAGGTTTGCAGATGCCAGCAAGCTGAGTGGTGCAGTCACCACACCTGAGGGATGGGATGCCCTCCACAGGGATCTGGACAAGCTCTAAAAGTGGGTCCATGGAAACCTCATGAGCTTCAACAAGGCCAACTGCAAGGTGCTGCACCTGGGTTGGGGCAACCTCCAGTATCAGCCCAGGCTGGGGGAAGAAGGGATTGAGAGCAGCCCTGCCCAGAGGGACTTGGGGGTACTGGCCAGCATGGCCAGCAGGTTGAGGGGGGTGATTCTGCCCCTCTGCTCTGATGAGGGCCCATGTGGAATAGTACATCCAGCTCTAGAGTCCTCATTTCAAGGAAGATATGGACCTGTTGGGAGTGGGTCTGCAGGAGGGCCACAAAAGCAATCAGAGGGCTGGAACACCTTCCCTAAATGGGAAAGACTGGAAGAGTTCAGGTTGCTCACCCTGGAGAAGAGGAGGCTCCAGGGAGACCTCACTGCAGCCTTTC